AGCCATTTGTCCTGAAACCACTGTAAGGAATGAAAGAGAAAAGCAATGGAAAACGTAACATCATCTCTCTGTCTGGACTGCAGCACACTGGTCTGTAAGTACTACTGCTGTCAGTCTAAGAAACATCAGTCAAAACCAGACAGTCTCCTCCATAGTATTCCATACCTATGCACAAGCCTTTCATTTTGATCCATTTTATTTTTTATTCTGAAGGTATCTATCTCCTTTGCTTGTGCTTGCTTGCAGCACTGGGCAGTGAGTGTACTGCTGGGAGGCTCTCAGCACTGCTCTCATCAGTGTTCTCCTTCCACGGTTAATGCCCATGGTATACTTCCAAGTGTTGGTGATGTCTCTGTCTCTACGTGGTAGATTAAAAAGAAAACCAAAATATACCAAAAAAACAGTCTTGCTTTTCAAGCTCCAAAGAACTATCTGTTAGTCTTTGCAGACATTTGGAACACCCCAAGTTCCCCCAGATCTTCCCCAAACCAAGAGGTTTTTAACCCTCCTTGGAGTTTTCTGTGCAGGTAGACATGTTTCCGGTAAGCAGATACTCAGCAAAACCTGTGAGCACCAAATTTACCCACACCATTGTAAATCAATGTGCAAATGCTCAGAAGAAAAGGAGCTCTTCAAAGCAGACTCTTTAGTGACAGCCTAAGGAGATGAAACAGGGAAGCCCATTAAAAACATGGCTGCTTAATGCTTTATCTGTATTTTTTTCTTTTGATTCTTGAAAAGCAAGTTATTTAAAGGCAATCCTGCCTGTTCACCTGGAACAAATGCTATCGTGAGTGTGTGTTCCATTTATTTATATACATATTTATTCTTGGGCAAATACGCTATTTAATAACTACTTGTGCTTTCTAAAATAGGCTCTCCTCCCACAGGGAACTTCTGCCTGCGCATTCCCAGCAGCCCGGACGCAGCAGCGCAGTTGGGTCTGCGTGGCCACGAGAGGGCTGCAGCAGCCAGCGGATTAAATCCGCCTCCCAACACACTTGAGATGCTGAGCTGGAGGCAGAGTCAAGCAGCCAGGCAGGCGGATGGGGCAGTTGTTTAGCTCAGCTTTCTTTGCTGGGTCACTGCATCCTGATTCTAGCTGTTGGGGACCACGCTTTTTTCTTCCTGAGAGTCATGTTCTTAATGCCAAGCTCCAGGTCATAAATAAGTCAAAATTGCACAGCAGAGGTGCCAACAAGGGCTACACAGGTTTTGCTCGTGGGTTGTTTTTTTTTGTCCTCACTCAACAACCGAAGTGCTGCAGCTTGGCTGACTCTCAAGCTGCAGAGAGCTAACCAGGGGCTGCCCGGGGCAGAAAAACACAAGGAAGGGGGTGTCAGGAGTAAGAGGTTGCTTCTGCTTTACCTTTGAGTTGAATTAAGCTCAGTCCAGGATGACCCCTACTCCTCAGTGAGTTTCACGGCAATTTGTAGTGCTGCAGTTAGGAAGGAGCAGGTCCAGGGCTCTCTGAGGGAGCTGTGCTGCTCTGTCAGCATGATAGCTAGCTCCAGCCCAAAGTGAATGCTTTTGTGAACATGTAGTAAGCTGCTGCGTGTACTCTGGAGTAGAAGTAATGTCTACACAACCCAAACTACATTATTTTTAAATGCTTCAGCTACAGGTTTTATCCTTACTTCAAGTTAATAATATGCCTATTTCAATGGCATGTCATTGCTCTGATTGTGTATTACAGCCTCTTAAAAATGACTTACAGAAAGCAGCTCTTTATATATCAAGGAAGGAGAATTTGTTTTTTATTGGGCTTGTATTTAGTTTTGGGGGCTGAATGGTTTACCTTTGTAGTGAACATTAAGCCTTTTCTATCCATGAACATTAGGAGGGGAAAGAAAGTAGCACAGGAAAATCTAATAGCTCTTTTCAAAATAATCCCATTGAAAGACAAGCTCAGTAAAATACTGGAGCATATACTGAAAAAATTAAAATTAACCTCAATCAGGGAACAAAACATAAAAATACAGATGCTGACTTCCTCCTCACACCCTTCAATATTTGCCCACAGAAATATATATCAAGGACATAGAAAATCTTTGGTTACTCCACACATTCCTCATAAAGAAATATATCAAATAAATGCATGCCTGTACAGTGAGATCTCTAACAATCATGAGCCATACAGCATCTGTATTAATAGTTTTCATTGAGACACCAAGCTTTGTCCTGTAGTCTTCAGATTTGAGATGCTAGTTCTGGAGGTCCCTTGAGTGAAGAAACCTGAGGCACAATCTAGACGTGGTGGAGAGGCTGCCACAAAGTTGTACTTAGGAAATCCCAGGAAGACTCAGGACATGCTTCTGCCTAGAAATAAGTTTCCATCTGCCCTCAATCCATGCATGGTTCAGAGCTGTTTCCTTGAAAATATTGTCAGACAGTCCTTGGTAGGAACAGAATTTGGGTTTCCTGAGAGACTGACTGTTCTCAACGAGCTTTATGGTGGGAAGGGCAGGAGTAACTGTGAGCTCAACATGCAGTGTCTTTTGATTGAGTTAGTCCTGATGACCCAAACCATAAACCATCTCTGCATGCTCCGTATCCAGCAGAGAAGGCAGCAAAAGCCAGACAAATCTCCCTGAAGCTGCTGGCTGTGCATCTTCGTACTGGTGACAGGATCATACTGACATTCCTGGAGCTTACAAAGGCCTTCATAGGTCATCATTCTAAGGTGTTTATCATGCTACTTTTTAAAGTACAGTATTTTTTGAAGGCCATATCCTCCAGACTGAGAAGAAATATCCAAACCAAGTCTAAAATAACTTTTTGGTTAACCATTGCTCTTTGGAGTCATTCAAATCCAGTACTGAAGTATCAACAGAAACCTAAATCTTGCTAGATGGCAAGAATCCTGGTTAGGTCTCTGAAGACGTCTATGGACCAGTGCATGGTCCCTCTACTATGTACCAAGCTGCTGGGACACCTGACAGCAATAGCCTGGAAATCTCCTTGGTTTTGTACAATGGATGGCTCTAAAAGCCCCCTTATCAATGCAAAGGTTCCTTTCAATCAGTCCTAAAACAGGAAAACAAATAAACTGACAGCTTATCCCTCTAATACAAATATGTTCATGTGATCTGCCTGGCACGGGAGCTGGGGCTGCAGCCTGGACACCCAGAGGACATTGTGCAGCAGCCCTCCTACACTGTCTTATTTAAGGCTGCTGGTTTTAGCTAAAGCAGCAGCTGATACAAAATGTAGGCTATGTGATGTACATTCCCCATTCTCCTTTAAAGTCTTGTTAAAAATAAAATTAATCATAAAAATCCCTCGGAGAGAAATGTTTCAAGTACGAGCTAGAGCTGGAAAGATCTTAGGTCTGACCAGGGTTTGTAGAACATGTGAGACAGCCAGATCCCAGATGGGCTTTTCTTCTCATCTCTGAGAAGGAACAGGGAAGAGAAGAACAGGAGTTTCATTTCCACTAGTTGCTTCTTGATAGTCTGATGACACTTTTGATAAGACCTGCTAGCAAGCTGGTAGAGAAAACATATGTTTTGTCATACACTGTAATCATGGTACCTCTGGTGAATTTAGAACTGTGATAAAGAAATTTTCAGAGCAGTCTCTAAGTCCCTATTGCTTTGTTAACATTTTTTAGCATCCTATTAATCACTCTCCATGTATCTGTCAACAGCTGATATTATGGATTAAGGAAGATTACAGCTCATTGCTCCAGTGGCTGTTTTCTTTAGGATTTAACTCTATGGGCACTTTGCCATTGACTTCACTATGACAAGACCAAATCCCTTGATTTCATGAACACTTTTCAATGCTTTCCTGACTCAGAGTGGGTTTACTTTATAAGATATCTGAATGATCATCCAGAAGGTAAATGTTTTTATTTTATTATTTCTGGAAAGGCTGATATACTTTCAGTGCTGAACAAACAGTGTGTAAGATCTTGATTTGCAGATGTTTTCGTGTAGATAAATGTTGACTTTGGTTTGACATGCTTGTGCAGATCATGTCATTTGTTACTTGGGAAAAGGAAACAATATTTCAAAAACCTCAGATTAAAATTCTACCGATTTAATACACTTATCTCATAGGCCTTCTCAATTATTCACTACCAACTACGGGTTATTCTCCGATTTTACATATCGGTTATCCACTTTGGAATGCAAAGAAATCCCTGTGCCTCACATGATCCATCACAGCGCAGAAATAATTAACACTGGAGAATCAAAAAACTCAACTGTGAACAACCTTCAGTCTAAAAATTATTCACCCAAACTCACCCCTTGTGCCAGGACTTGTTTTTGTACACACTTAAAAATAACAAAGACAACAGTACAAATTTCAGCCTGGAGATCTTTCCTGAGCTTATTTAATTCTTACAGCTTCCCTCCAAGGTCTTGCCCTTTCCAGCTCCCTTCTTCGGCAGAGCATCCCTGCTCCATGGCCTTATGTCAAGGCAGAGAAATCAAGGAAAACTTTCTTCCTGTGCTCAGGGAATTTGGGGTCATGGCCAACCCCCATAGTGCCTCACTTGCAATTCCTGCCAAAAGTTAATGCAGATTTTTGGCTTCAGAGCCTATGGAGATATGAAACAAATGACATGTGCCCATCTGAGCGTTTCACTAGGAGTGTCTCACCTGATTAGAAATGCCTTAAAACAACAAGCACTGCTAGAAAGTACCTTCACTGCACTTTGTATAAATTATTCCTGAGCTACTGCATAATGTTTATTAATATTTCTAAGGGTTTTGAAATTTTGAACTAAGGACATTAATATGAGCTATACTACAAAACCAGGTAAAGGTATTAATGGGAGAGTAAACTTGCTTTCTCATCTGTATGGGTGAGTTGTATTTCATGTCCCTGTACATACAAAGGAGCAGCCTCACCCCTCCATCAAATATGGTCCCTGAATTCATTCTTGTTCTGAACTGAAGAAGAATTTGAATTCTTCCAATTTAAACAAATCTTCCAATTCCATCACTCAGCAACAAAATGCTTTTGAAAATAATTAGCATTTATACTGGTAGCTTCAGCAGCTCATATACTAAAACTGGAACGATATAGAGAAGATTAGCATGGCCCCTGCACAAGGATGACACACGACTTCATGAAGCATTCCATATTCAAAAGACGGTGTTACAATGGTCCCTGAAAAATGTAGGAATATATGAAATTTCATCCAGGCTCAGGCAAAAACCACACCTGACCAGAATCCTGTCCTGTCTAAGGAGGGAAGGAAAGTGGGGAATATAGAAAATAGTCAGTCTGCTCTGACATGTTTCTTTTCCTTCCTCCATCCTCCCCTCCTGTTTGGCAAACTGTCAGTGAGGGACTGAAGGCTACATCCAGGCAATCACACCTCCTCCTTGCCTTTCCTCATTAATTTGCCTAATTAGTTTCCATTTATCTTGCAAAGATGAGCAGCAAACAAATCCTTTCCAATGCCTCTCCACACCCACTTTCCATCTTGGTGAATAATCTCTTCTTTTTTTCTGAATTTCATCTAATGTGAGGACCATCTGGCCTCTGCAAACATGACAGCTCAGCTCTGCTCTTTGTTTCAGGTCTGCAGTGAACTGGATGGCACTTGTTTCACCATAGAGTCACCACATCCTTGGTGTTGTGAGGTAGTAAGAACAGTGTGAAGAAGGAAATCAGCAAGGAGGAGAAACAGCCCTTACCAGCCCCAGCACTGGTGGCCCAGGGGATGAGAGGTGGGTACTGTGAGCCAGCCAGGAGATGCTCCCTAACATTGCAAGGGGAAGAGATGGAGGAAAAGCTTTTCGATCACACCTTTCAGTCCTCTGGGGAAAAACACATGAGCTCATCACAACGACACTGAGTGTGTTTCCAGCTGACAGTTAACAGTTGGCAAAGCAGAACTGGTGGGCTGGCGGTTGGCTGTCAGTGACTGCTTATGTTTTTTTCCATTAGGTATAGTGATTTTATTATCAGTCTTCAGTTGTTCTGAGGGCAGAACATCAGCATTGTGGTGTAGGATGCTGCTTTTTGGTGGGCTGGGTTTAGGCAGGACTTTGCCTCTGTGCTAGGTGAATCTGCCGTCTTTGAAAGCCCATACAGCAGGTTTGTCAGGGCTGGTCATGACTCCTGGTGTGCCACTGTGCTCTTCGATCTGCCATTGACATTCAGGTACACCCTGACTGCGTCTGATCTGTCATCTTCTGCTTACAAAATCAAGCTAGAAATCATATCAGAGGGTACCTGCTGTTAAAAACTTGGCTGTTCAATGGAGAAACCTTTAAATCTGAGCATGCAAAGAGAAGTTCATTTTTGTAATTAACAGCTGTCCCTGTCGTCAGGAGAGCTGCATTTTGCATGGGGCCCTGCCACAGGCTTTCCCAGTCTGGCCATAATCCCTTCTTCTTGTTGGCCCCCAGTTTTCCATCTTTAAAATCTTCCTTTCCTTGCAGGCAGGTCATAAGGCTAGATCAATTACTATAAATGAGAGGCTTTATTACTGAGGTGATAAGTGTCATGCCAATACAATAGTAATAATAAATAATTCTCTGAAAGTGTAAAAGGGTCTGACATTATAAATTACATTTCAAGCACTTGCAGTGTGTGTGGACTGGAATTGAATGTAGAACATACAGAAGGTTTTTCTCAGGCTCACGTTTTTTTCACTTTGGAAATAAATGTCTTTTATTCAACTGAAATGTCCTTGGTGCCTTGACCCAGCAAGAAACCTCTCACCTGTACAAGACCCCATCACTCCAGTTGGGTTTCAGATTACCCTGCTGGGAGGCAAAGGTGGAGGGGAACTCCTCTGAGAAGCAAGGGAGGTCTCACTTGATCTTGTAAGCTTTTCTATTTCTGTGCTTTCAGAATTGCTTCCTATTTTCCCACAACATTCATTTCAGCCCCTTTTCATCTGTGATTATGAGTCAGTGAAGTGAAAGGCTTCCCAAGAGCATCCTGCCAGGATACACAGGCAAAGGAGACTTTCTGTGTTGTTCCCATCAGGGCCCTTCTGAAATACCTGCTCATAACAGCAACCCAGGACTTTGGAATCAAAGCCCTATGCTGCCCCAAAGCACCTTTGTTGTGCCCTCACCTGCTGCCTTTACATAATTTACTGCCTTTACATGCCTCTAATCAAGAAGCCCCTCTGCCTCTCTCAGCCCTTTCTGCTTTCATCCCTTATAGATGGAAATAAATCCTTTAGCTAACATGTATCTAAGCAGATAATATTTAAATGCTGCAGGGAAAGAAGATCTACAAAAGCAAACCCTGCAGGACCAGGGCACACATCCTTGCTTTTGGGCAAGGGACGCAACTTGTCCTCAAATGTCCTACATGCCAGCTTACCATCGCTTCTTCTCCCAAGGGGTCCCTCACCATCCCTCTTCTCCAGCCAGGCCAGGAGAGCCACCTGTCAGACCCCAGGCTTCTTTCAGCCCTTCAAGCACATGATGATCTGCTGGTGACACCTTGCAAAGGGAACTGTCTTCCTCAAATGGGATGAAAAAAAAAAACCCAACTTTGCTTCACCTGCAAAGGTTTCTCAGGATCAGTTTCCTGCAGAACAATTAAAAGCCCCTTCCCTGACAACCATTACTTCTTTTTGCCATGTGATGGAAAGTTATGAAAATATTTTTGTGTTTTCTGGGTTTTTGTTTTTTGGTATTGGGGGTTTTGTTGTTTTTTTTTTTTCCTGGTAAAATTTTCAGTGTAAAGCCATTCTCTTCATGTCTTTTGCTTTCATGCATTCCAGAGACATTTACTGCCTGGGTGAAATTGACCTTGAGAAATTTCAGCTTGAAAAATGAAAATCTGGGGAAAGTACTTAAACATAGAAACCCAAAATTTAGAATAAAACCAATTAGAAAACCTTCAAGGTGGCAGGTTTCTCCTGTTATATGACTCAAAAGACTTATGCATCCTGCTAAACAGCAATAGAAAATCCTGAGTTCTTTAAAACTAATGTCTTTTCTTCCTAAAATATCTTGCATGTCAGTTAAATCTTATCTGAAAGAGAAGGAAATTACAACATCTACAAAACCTTAGTTGATGCTGCCATCACGGTACAGGAGAAAGACCCCACTTAAAAAGCTTAGGCAAATGTAAACCATGCACTTTGCAATGTCATTCATATAAAAAATTGGTAAGACCTAATCCTGAGCAATTTCCAAATTTCATAGGGCTGATTGCACAAGCAGAAATACAGCACTGGCATCAAATTCTTCCTCTTCTAAAGAGCTGGAAACTTTATTTTCTTTTTCCTGTAACAATGAATGCAAATGCTCTAAATCTTTTCAGTCCCAAGCAGAGATGGTGTTAGATGACTTCAACAGGAGGCAATGCTTTTAGATGCTTATAAAAATTTGATTTCATACATCTTTCCTGCAGGCTATTATTCAGTGATGAGTGTGTAGAGGGCCTTCACAATGCCCAAAAAGTGACTTAAGCTCTTTGTTACACACAGAAGTTGGTCTCAGCAACTGCAGGGCTCTGGCACAAAGCATTGCACAAGCCTGTAGCCTACCCTGTACAGCTGAGTTGAGATGTTCGTAGATAAGTTCACTGAGCAAAAGCAGGTCACATCAGCAGATATAATGTGTCCTTTGAACCTCCAGTACCTCATTTTCTGTCCTCTACAGTGGCATCTATCTTCCTTTGATCATTGAGTAACAGGTGGTTGTTTCATTACAATGGAAATAAAAATAGTTGACATGAGAGAGTGGTGTTTTGCCTATTCAGAATGACAGTGGAAAGTTGCACTCCGGAGTTAGCTTGAATAGAGTGAACATTATTAAGTGCTGACATGAAAAAGACTTCTCAAAGGAGATAATGCCTTCACCCAATTAATCCTTCCTAATGAACTTACCCTTCAGAGGTAGGTAGAGCACTTTCAGCGTGAAGTTTGCTTCCTGTGATCATTTGTGCTAATAAAAGTCTTGCGAGAAAACTGATGAAAACTGATGAGAATGTGCCTGAAGTGAATTTATTTTGATATTTGACTTGCCAGGAAAAAAAGTGAATTGTAACTTTTCAACCTGATCTGCTATTGTGCTCTCTCTTGATGATTTCTATTCTTTAATAACTCCTCAAATAATAAGGCTCCTAGGCATCTGCTTCCCTTTGAATTTGCAGCTGAGAAAATTCCATGTTTGAAATACTCAGAAACAGAGTTTTATTTGATAACCTGTATTTTTGAGGTGGATAACTACTTTACTGAACACCTTGATGGTTATTTCAGTAATAGTAGTCTGTAAATGCTCTTCTGGCTTGGAGAAAGTTCGAGTGAGGAAAGAAGCCTTCTTGCACTCAAACTACATTATAATGATACTCTCTACTTAGGCAGATTCTTTTATCGAAGCATGTTTTATTCATCAGTTCACCAGACCCTCAATTGGTTTTGTCTAATTGTGACTCTCTTTATACCACACAGGCTTGGAAGTCCAACCATGACGGTTATTTATTTTCCCTATGGTTTGGATATCTCAAGAAAGAAAGTGCAAGAGAGGGGGAAAAAAGTGTGGAAGTTCAAACAAAGTGGAAGGTATCAGACTAAAATAAATCCAGAGGGAGCAAAAAGACTCAGAATAATTGATAAGAAGATTTTTAAAATCATATATGTGCAATGTGTTGGTTCATTTATAAAACTGGCAGCTCCTGTTGAACTGCAATTAGAACTGGTCCTAGGTAGCCAAAGAGACCACCTCAAATGAGGCCACCCAAAATTAGCTACCTAGTTCCTACGTCTGTTTTAGGAGCTCATACTAGTGATCTGATTTTCACGGATGTATTTTGGCAGCCTTGAATGAAGAAAACATGTCTGAAAATTAGGACTTCAGTTGATAAACTGAAATACCCAAATTTTAAATGTTGGTCACTGCAACTTGTCCACTGTTGTCAGTAATGTGATCATGAGTAGCAAAGTCCTCTCCATCTCTAATCTAACCAGCAAAAGAAAAGATACTGAATGAGGACAATGCAGCTAACAGCTGGGGAGAGATTTTTTTCCACCTGCTTCACATTTTTGGGGTCATGATAAAATCAGCCACTTTGAATCTGTGCAGCCCAGTTTCATACCTCAGATGAAGAACTGGGATAATTTTTGAGCACTGCAAGCAGCTAATGCTTCTCAACCCCTGTGGCAGGAA